AATTTCCTTTGCTTGTTTGTTAGTCATAAGAAAATAACTTTACTTTTATCATAACCAGGTAATTCTCCTCTCTGCTTCTATAAAACCTGTATACCTGTATGTGTGTTTGTTATAAGCAAGGTAGAATTTACACAGCCGCACAGGGGAGTTAGCAAGCGTGGTGGCATCAGCTCAGACGTGGTTAGTACATATAAGGAACAGTTTTGGCCTCAGGACTTTCCAATTCCACACCATAAAAAACCTGCACCAGAAGTCAGGGAGCACCTGCTTTCTAGTTTCTTCTGTCACTCTGAAGAAAATGGCTGCTTTGCCACACCAGAAATTTCCATCTCTGTATTCAATGTTTGGTTTGATACTAGCTGTTCTCCTGACTTTCCTCCTTTGGTCCTCCATACTGAGCATAACAGTATGGTGGAGGATACGTCTCAAATCGAAGAACGGGTGGTTTCTGATGAGGCTTGAATGAGTTTTAAAGCAAAGTGAGTTAGACTGAAAAGAAACAACGTTTCTGTGCTAGTGTGACTTTGAAATGTCTTTCCTTTTGCTACGGGATTCTCAATGTGAGCTGTGTGAATGTGTAAGTTGAAGATGTGTGCTGCTGCACAGATCTGAAGAGATTTTGCCTGGCGTTAATTTATGAAATGCTTCCATTGAAGCACTTGGAGTCTCCCAAGGTTCTTTTGCATAAGCAGCAGACGAACATCGGCGTCTCGTCCCCAGGCACAGAGTTCTGCTAAACCTCTTCAGGTCTGAGAACCTCTGCAGCTCCCACCCCCAGCTATGTTTAATATGTCTAAGTAAGGGAGGGAGGGCCATCGAATTACAAGATATGTGTCTCTTTCAGAAAGCTGGCAAAGAATATTTCGCCTTGCTGGGGGAGAAGTGCAAGTAGGCTGGGTAAATAAGACTCTCTTTGCTCTTGGGTATGACAGCACGTTGAATCTCTGGCAACTCCTATGTACTCAGAAGCTGAAAAGAGTTGCTTTATTACATCCTTTTTTAAAGGAAATAAACATCTTGTGCTCGCTAGGTGCAAAATGTGACTTAAATAGGAAAATTTTAAGAACTGTTCTTCCACCAAGCAGATTGGTGGAACTGCGAGAAGTAACTGTGTAAAGATTCTGACGTTACACTGCTGAGGTGTTGCTGGGTCATTAGCTGTGGATATGTTATGTCCCTGCAGTGTTTGCTTTGAGGGAGGTGGGTCCCTTCTGAATCTGTAGAATACATACATATACATACCCTCTTTGACTGTTTTTTCCTGTGTATAAATAAGGCAATATTCCACATCATTAAACCCTACCATTTCCTACCTGTCAGCTGAAATCGGGTAAACCTGTTACCAAGACAGTTTAGTGTTTCTTTTGGGTTTGTAGTCCCTGAAAAGTGCTGGTTAGTTCATGGTTGAATACTAACCTGACTGTGCATAGTATTTACTGAAGGGTGCAGTGTTCTTACGCTCATACCACATGTTTTTGCAGGCTAGTCCTTGTGCCATGGAAGCTGAAGAAACGATGGAATGTATCCAGGAGTTCCCTGAACACTATAAAGTTATTTTGGATAGACTGAATGAACAGCGTGAGCAGGACCAGTTTACAGATATCACTCTGATTGTCGATGGTACGTACAGCCCTGAGAACCAGTTGGTAGGCAGAGAATTATGAAAGCTGTGTTGGGAGCCTGTCGGATTTGTCACAGTTCAGCTGTCAGACTGAGCTGCTAACAAATTCTTGGTTCTGTACCAGCATGCAAGTTGCTTGCAAAGTTTCATTTCAGATCTTGGGGTGAACACAGTCTCCAGCAGTGATTAATAATTTTGCTTCTGCTTTTCCAAACATGGGACTAAATATTTTCGGATTGAAGTCCATTTGAAAACTCCCATGCTGTATTTAATGTGCTGTCTAAGGATTTCCAAAACATTGTTGAAATATTTTTGCCTAACTTGAGCTGACTGTTTGCATGCAGAGAACTTGTACAAATACTATGGGTTAAAAAAAACAAAAAACAAAAAAAAAACCCCACCAGCTTGAAATAAGATTTACTTCTTGATTCTCTGGTATCTGCCTACTATTTTAATATACAGTTAAAATAGGGTAGAAGTACTCATTTTTCTTTTTGTGTGTGTTCTAAGGACAAAAGTACTAGTTTAAAAGGATGATGGAGATATGTATAAGTGCTTGTTATCTCCTTTGAAAAGAGGATGTCTGATAGATGGCCTAAGATTGCTTCTTATCCCAGACACATCTTGGAACAAATGAGGAATTCAAAGAAGATAGGCAGCAAACTGCTAGGACAAACTTAGCTAAAGGAGTACCACCTGATCTTTAAAAAGACAGCAAGAACTCACTTGAAGGAGCTGGGTCCAACAGAGCCCCAGTTACAAAAATGTAAGCAAATGAATAAAAAACTACTCTTCAGGAACTGCCATAGTTTCACCGACAGCACCTGCATAAAACTTACCCTGAATGTTTGTTACTGCTCAGGTATTACCAAATCCAGTTGTTGAGCTCAAAGCTTGTTTTGTGTGCAGCTCTGTAGTTCTAATCCATATTGTTTCTCCTGTCTCTGTCCCATGGAGCCTTATGAACACTCATGCCTGCGCCAAGGTGAAGGCAGCACATTGATGGGGAATACACAGCCTGGAATACAGGAAGAACAGAGCAGAACCACTTCTGTTTTGCAGTGGTGTTTATGCTGGCAGCAGTGCTGATAAAATATAGCAATCTGAAAGAGCAACAAAAAACAAGGAAAATTTGGATAAAACCTGAGAGCTGAGCCCAAAACATACAGGAAAATGTTCACACAGGAATTTCCTATAGCTTAAATATCTGATAAGAGGAACACTGGAGTGAGTGAGTTCTCCAGCTGACTGAGTTGCAGAGCTTCTGCAAGGTCAGTGATGTCAGCAAGGGTCTGCATGAGACAGGCTAGCTGCAGTAGTATCCTGCGTTACAGGGAGATATACTAAGTCACAAGATGTTGCTGGAATAGATTTGTAGGTGGGGTGGCCTCTTCTGCATCGGCACTTGTTCTGCACTATGAATGAGGAAGATGTTACCCTAAAGTAAGTTTTTGTCTCTCTTCGTAGGTCACCATTTCAAAGCTCATAAGGCTGTTCTTGCTGCCTGTAGCCAGTTCTTCTACAAATTCTTCCAAGATTTCACTCAGGAGCCCTTGGTGGAGATTGAAGGTAATCTGATTTGTGCAAATAAAAACATTCAGAGGTGTGTGCCCAAGCTGGAGATGGATGTAGTGTCCTTGGGATGGGCTTACATACGTGCTTGGTCATATCAGTTAGCTTTTGAGATCTCAGTTCTTGAGTTGTTCTGAGGCAGCTACCACCACTGGAAAAAAACTTGCCCTGAGGAAGAATTAAAAAGAAAAACAAGTCTTGAATTACATCTTTTGGAAGTGAAAGCGTGATGTTCTGTGGGTGGTTTTTTTCCTTAATTTTTTTATCTTCTCTCAATACATGGCTAATGGAAGTCAGGCAGACCCTGTATGTTTTTAGGACTAGCAATGTGACACGTAATCTTTTCCCTGACAATACCCGTTCTGGTCAGATGAAAAAGGCTGCCAGTGATGGCGAATGGCAGATGCGGTGACTGGGATGCAAGAACAGGATAGACATGGCACAGTACTTGCCAGGTATGCAGGGAGCAGACTCCTGGAGCAGTATTTCAAGCTCAAGTAACTTGCTGCTCAGAAGTGCCTTTTGAGAAAGCTTATATTTTTGTGTTTAAATCTATGCTTTTTATTATTAAAAAAGCATTCTGTCCGTCTTCTTTTGTTTTATCTTTGTTGTTGCGTATGTCTGTAGTTATTCCAGATTCACATGTTTCTATAATAGACATTTTATTCCAACATGAGCTTTTTAAGGGTGTCGTCTTTATGAAACCGGCAGCTATAGTGCTGTGAGCGATGTGGTGAGCAGGCAAGTGTGCAAGATTCATCAGACAAATAAGATGGAGGAATTGCTAAAAGAAACTCTGTTTTTTCTTGCCTGTATGCAGGTGTAAGTAACATGGCGTTTCGTCACCTAATCGAGTTCACCTATACAGCAAAACTAATGGTCCAAGGTGAGGAGGAAGCAAATGACGTTTGGAAAGCAGCAGAGTATCTACAGATGTTAGAAGCAATCAAAGCCCTTGAAATCAGGTAAGCACATAAGCCTCTCTTCCCAACACTGAAATGCAGAGTCACAGGAATCCTTTTACAAGAACTGCCAGTATTTAGCAGTGCTGTTCCTTATCCTGGAACCTCTTAAACTTGTGTGGGACCATATACTCTTCTATGAGAAGATATAAGTCAGAATTATACAGGTGAAAAAACAAATGTCACGTTCCTTAGGCTGGAACTCGATGACAAGTGACATGGCTGGTAGATGTTGCAGACATGGCAAGGCTGTGACTTTGTGGTAATTAATAGTCAGCAGGTCTCTCTGCTATCTGACTGCCCACACCTGGTTAACAGCTGGGTGTACAGTGGCGATGTGCGTCGGATATTAGACCACATTAACAAGCTTGTGCTGGTGTTCTGGTTTCATGTAGCTTTCTGCTATTTCTGAGAGAATAAGCAGTGATCTTAAAACTTCTTGCTGCAAAAGGAATCAAATGTTGCTGTGGCACCTTTTATCCAGTACCAGGAACTCTACTCCATTACCAGACTTCAATCTGAGAAAAGCAGGTGACAGTCCCATCATGCTGTTTTTCTTTCCCTTCCTTCCCTTTCACTTTCACAACGTGGTGTCACATTCTCATTCCTTCTGCATGCTACACTGTTCTGCTGACATGAGACAGAGGCAGCAGCCATAAAACCTCCCAGCATTATGGCTGTTCTTGGTTTCTCTTCTAGACCTGCTGAAAGGTCTTTGCATTCAGGCTAAGGAAAGGCTGTTGCTTCCTTTTTGTCTCCCCTTAGACACATTAGCCAAGGAGAGCGGCATTGGCCCCGAGTTCCTCTAGCAGCCAGCTAACATTTTATTTAAAAAAACCTCCGTGACATGATATGCTGCAAACTTGGTTTTCAGCATCAGCATTTATTTTCGAAATAACTTATTCTGTGCTTATTCTGTGGATTGGCAGTAGAGCTGAATAAATATGTAATTTTTTTTTAATAGGAAAGATACGGGCTTGTGCATTTCTAGTCCTACCTTCCAACCCCACAAACACCCTTTTTTTGGTATTACTAAGATTAAGCATGGTACCACCAAAATAATACTTTATTTTTTTTATTAATTAATTAATAAAAGCAGACCTTAACTGTCTGCTTGAGGAATTTAAGAGAAAACTGAAACTGAAAAAGTATGGTGTAATGAGTATCACTTTGAGTCAGTGTATACCGGTAGAGCTGATGAGCTAGGATTCCAATCCATCCATCAAGCTACACTATCCAGCCAGCAATTATTTCCCACTAGTCTATAAAGTTATGCAGTTTGTTGGTTATGCATCAATAGTAAACACTGTAAATTTTATGTTACAAGGAAACAAAGGTTTTGCTTAACGAACACACGTGGAAGCCAGTCTATTCTTAGACTTACTTCCATTGTTCATAGATTTTGAAGTTTTTTGTGGGAGTTTGGTTTGTTTGGGGTTTTTTTGTTTAGGAAGACAAGCTTCAGTACTGCTGTCAGTCTCTGTTTTCTCCTCCACAGTAAGTGGGGGAAGAATTGCAATACAGTGCCTCAGTCAGAGCTTTGACTGAAAGGGTTAGGCTTCAGAAACTTCAGCTGAAGTAGAGATGATTATAGAACTAACTATTTGCATCATGCATCAAAGAGTTGCACATCGCATAGTTCAGACTCGAAAGAAAACAACGAGCTATTGTTCGTTAAAGTGCAGTTGTGTTGTACTTGTGTGTCCGCATTCAAACTTCCACACAATGTGGCCAAGGACAGTAGTCTCCTCTTTGCTGAGCAGATCATTCTTTCAGCACGTGGTCCTGGAGCTCCTTGTGGTAGTGTGCAGAGTAGCTGTCACTTTCTAGACACCAGAGATCCAGGCTAGATGGAACTGTAAGTTTAGCTGCTCTGTCTTCCTGTGTCTGAATAGAGTAAGGTACAGTTTAATAAGCTGTATCCTGCGTTAGATCATCAGCCACACATCTACGACTTACAGATACTGGGAAGCCTTTTCCCTTCTTTTACTAGAAAACGTGGAAGTGATAGGGAGACGATTACGTGAATGAGTTCATCAGGCTGCAAAGGAAGGCAAAGACACAGCTTACAGCTGTCAGTCTGATTTGAGGGTAAGAGAGCCACTCATTTTCAAAACTGGTAATCGGTAGTAAAACCTCCAGCCCATGAGTGCTGCAGATGGTCTTGAGGGTGTGACTTCAAATTGTTGGCCCACTCAGCTCTGTCTGCGTGTGAGATGGGATGCTGTCCCTGGCATCTTGGAGGAAGGGGATTGTGTGTGTATGATGCAGGGAGAACAGGAACAGAGCTGGGGGTTGTGTCTAAGCCTGGAAAATTAAACTAGAATACTCTTTCCACATCCCAGTGGCTTTTGTTTTTACGTCAGCTGTTAGCTGTATGCTTTCCTGAAGTACGAGGGTTATAATAATTGCTGTGTGAAGTCACAGCTGTAGTGTCTTCTAACAAGCTGTGAGCGCTGCAGGCAATGTAACACACTCCAGAGCTGAAGAGGTGAATATCATAGGAAGGACTTGAATCTTATTTCTGAGTAGGCAGGCCAAAGAACTCCTTCCATCGGTGATGTTTTCTTTCCAAGTACAGAATTTCACAAATTTCTTAGATAAAGCTATGTCATTAGGTTAATTGGCTGTTCTTCTTGATAGGTGCTTTGTAGCCTTCCAGCCGAGCTATTTAGAACACTTCAGTAGCCTTATGTCAAAGGCTCTGCAGCTTTAACCATGCTATTTTACAGCCCTAAGTAGTAGAGATTAAGGACAAATTAGCCTCTGATATGCATATAGATTGTGTGGTCATTCATCATTTGGCTTCTTGGAGAAACAGCTATAGAGTGTTGGGATGCAGAAGTTCAGTATTAGGCAGGAATTGTTACGTCAGTGCTTGTGGATCTTAACAGTGTTTATACAAATGCTTTACAGGAACAAAGAAAATTCATCACCCTTAGAATCAAATCAAGCACAAGGTAAAAATAAACCAAAAAAGAGGAAGATAGCCGAGACCTCTAATGTTATCACAGAAACACTGCCATCAGCAGAATCGGAGCCTGTTGAAATTGAGGTTGAGATTGCTGAAGGGACGATTGAAGTGGAAGATGACAGCATTGAAACACTTGAAGAAGTAGCTTCTGCAGAGCAATCCATAAAGTACATACAGACAACGGGTACATCAGATGAATCTGCTTTGGCTCTTTTGGCAGATATCACCAGCAAGTATCGTCAGGGAGAGAGAAAATGCCAGATCCAAGAAGAAGGTGATAGTGCAGCTGATCCCTCGTGCAAACAGGTAGAAGGTATTGAAATTGTGGAACTTCAGCTGTCACACGTGAACAATTTATTCCACTGTGAGAAATGTAACCGATCCTTTAAATTGTTTTACCATTTTAAGGAACACATGAAAACACACTCTACTGAGAGTTACAAGTGTGACATATGCAATAAAAGATACCTACGAGAGAGTGCTTTGAAACAGCACCTCACCTGTTACCACCTCGATGAAGGTGGTGCCAGCAAGAAGCAAAGACCTGGCAAAAAAATACATGTATGCCAGTACTGTGATAAGCAGTTTGACCACTTTGGACATTTTAAAGAGCATCTCCGGAAGCACACAGGTAAGAATGCTGCTATAGTCTGTGCTTGTGGCCTTGGCTCTAGCATTTTGAGATTTTGCCTGTTTTGGGGAAATAGAGAATATGCTAAAGAGAACATGAGTCCTGCGTGCTAAAAATACTTGGTTTCTTGTTACAACTAAAATCCTGGTTTGTCTTTTTGTTTATTTGTGCTGTTTTCCACTGATGTAAACTTTTGAGGGGTTGAGGTCATGAAGAATAGGCACCTAAAACCAGAAAGCACTAATGAAGCTTTGCTCTTAGGTCTATTAAGTCTTCAAGATTTTTTCAAAATAATTTCTTAAGGCATGTTCCTTCTTCAGAAGTCCCAAACTGAGAAGCTACTTTTATGTTCACAATTCTACTAGTAATTATTTCTGTTGAAATAGGATCTGAACTGTGAGCTTCAGTGGAATACAGTTTAGAGGGTTTCTTTATCTATCAGAACTCCAGAGCAAATGCCTATTAATGCACTAAGCATAAAATACCCTCTGAAAATTCTCTCTTGTACCATCTGGTTTTGAAAGTTTCACCCTTGCTCTGGACATCTCAGCTATGATTTGAATTTTCTTTGCTAATTAACACAGCAAAACATTTCTAGTGGCTATAGTTACACTTTTTTTTATGGTGAAATTTGCCTCTGAAACTTGGATAGCATCTTTTGAGTACAAAATGACTTGTGCTCCTTTCTTCTTTATAATATGGGAGGTTGAGATGCTACTTTTTCATCTCATGAAGAAGTCTACTCCCGGAACAGGTACTGAGCATTATACAGATAACTGCATGTAAACTATATGTGGTCCTGATCTTCCAGATGTTTTTGTTTAATATGTCAGTGATGAGTCATCAGTAAGAATTAAAGAGAGGGTAGCAGCCCTACTTCTTTCACAGCTTCTTATTGTTGTTAAAGCCTTTTAATTCAAATTTCTTTGTATCTGTGTATGGGACTGCTGAGTGTTCATATATGACACTGTATTCAGTCTGTTCCCAATAGCCCCTCAAAGTTCCATATATAAACAGTCTTTGGCAAATCCTTATTCCCTGTGAAGCATTTCTCCATTATATGTTTCTCCATTATGACCAATCCAAATACAAGTTACTTCACAGAAGTCTTTTCAGAGAAAAGTTTGTGGCAGATTAACAGAGTAACCCAAATACCACAAATATCACAATATATTTGTTTCTGTTGCGATGAAGGATTTTGGGGACAAAGCAATTTAGCATGTGACAGGAGGTACAGAGTACTTTCTAAATATATATTGGTACAAGTGTAACACAGGGAAGCTAATTACTCTAGCATTTTCAAAAGCCTTAAGCTTAAAATCAAAATAGATACTACCACTTAACTGTGGTCTTCTAATATCAGTGGAAAAATGCTCATTCAGCCAAAGGCTTTCTAAGCTCTGAATTCTATATAGCGCTGGTTGAATGCTAAAATGAAATTTAAAAGCCTGGGAGAAAATGTCCTACAAGTGCTTGATCTTGTTGCTGCTTAATCACAACACCAACAATCACATGCAGGTAGCAACTGGGGCAGAAATAGACACCTCATCAGTGTTGGTAATTCTTTTGATGTGCGAATTTGACATTACTAATGGCTATTATCTTTGTCTTAGTAAAAGAAAGTAAGGAGAGCCATGGATCCATCTCACTTATGCGTACAGTGCCTTAAGCAGCTTCTGTGTCTCTGAAAAAGTACCTCAAAAATATCTTGCATGTCATGTAACTCTGAAAGTATTAACAAAGTAATATCCAGAATTTATAAAGAGGGAGGGGGTTTTGGTCTGATCTAATTATTATTTTTTTCCCCTTTATGAGAATGGATGAGATTTCACTTGCCAATCATAAGTAACGCACAGCACGGAATTTCTGCAACTCTGCACTGAAGTAATGTATACCTGTTGAGTTCAATAGCTCTAATTTGTCTTACACAGGAAGAACAATTTCCTCATACAGCAGTCAATCTTAGAATGAAGCTACTGCTCTCAATATGCTGACCTAATCCTGATGTTTTGCAAAGTTTATATTCCCTAGCAGAAAGAGACACTGAACAGCTTTGATTCCCTCTGATTTTACTAGAAATTTTGACTGCTGAATATTTCTCAAAGTTAGGCCTTTTTTTGTTTTGGCCTTTGGATATTGCCAGTGTTATCTTTGAATTGTAACTTTCAGACACTTTCAGCAGAATGTGTTGGAGATTACTGAAGAATTTGAGTAGGAATAGAATAAATCTGTCCCTCTCTGGTGCCTCGCTCCAAGTAACTCTTGAAATGTGACCAGATCACAGGGCAGGTGAAGGTCTGTGGTGTGATCTTTGCTCTGTAGTATCCATTGTTTGTTTGGGCAAAGTCCATGATTTTGACCTGCAAGACTGATGGCAGCTCAGCATCCTCTGCATTACCTGTACAACATAGACTCACAGAATCATAGAATCATTAAGGTTGGAAAAGACGTCTAACATCATCAAGTCCAGCCATCAACCCAACACCACCATGCCTGCTAAACAAT